ATCTGCACAGACTGCCGCTCTAGCCCAAACAAACCCCGGGGATCCCCTAAAATCCATCAGGAGCAGTGGCTCAAGAGGGTCCCCGACAGTGCTGAGAGGAGAGGGGCGTGCTAGCCCACAACATTTGAAATAGGGGCACCCCCATTTTTCTCCCCTGCTGTGAGAAATGCTCCCTGGGGCCCCATGTAGGGCGATGAACTGGGGGTTACTTTCGATTTGTGATTTAAAACGTCCTACGGGGGAGACGGGCTCCCTTATTTCCCTTGCGCCCGCCCGAGAGCATCCCCGCTTACACTGACCCAGGGTCTCGTTCAAACTGAAGCTCCCTCCCCTCCCCCGGTCCCGTGGCGTGGAGGCAAGAGCCGTGCGAGCACCGCCGTGCCAGCTACTCTATGCGGGGCCCTTGTGGGGGAAAACAAATCGGCCCCAGGGGTGGGCAAAAGGTAGACGGACCCTGCAGCTCGGCCGGTCTCGGCTCCGCTGAGTCTCCCGGTGAGTTGGTTTGCAAACGAAAAATCCCCAAGAAACGTCGAGGAGCCGGGAACCGCGCTGCCAGCCCGCCCGGGTGGGGCTGCTCCCCGCATCCCGCTTCTAGTCGGGTTCCTGAGGCGGTGGGTTTAGTCCCTGGTCTGCCCCGCACAGGTCCCGTCCCCACGCTGAAGCCCTCTGAGGGAACGGCGGCTTCTCCGCCTCTTTCTGCTGAGGAAAGGCCGGGGCTCCGCAGGGCCAGTGCGCTCCTGCCGAGCTGGCCCTGGCCCCGGCTCCCAGGCCAGATGCGGGCATTCGGGTCACATTTATTTTTAGTGCAGCGAAGATTTTTCCCCCGTAGGGAGGTGGTTGCGAGGGGAGGAAGAATCGGGCAATAGCTATACAACGACCTCCAGAGATGCGATCGATCGGGGAGCTTCTGTCCGGCCCCGCAGTGCCCCCCAGTTCTCCAGCGCCCCCTCTCCATCACAGCTGGGAGCCGGCGGGTCCCCAGCTCGGGGCGGTTGTTTTCCAAGGGGAGCAACGCCGAGCAGCTCCCGGCGGCGGCGGGGTCAGGGGGTACCTGTAGGTACATTTTGCCAGCGGTTTCTGTAGAGAAGACTAGGACAGGGACCTTGGACCCCGCCGTGGCTCTCCCTCCTCCGGGCTTCACTGTGAGTCCCACCGGGCACTCTCCGCCTCTCAGCACTCGCAGCCCAAAACTGAGGGGAGGTTGCTTAAAGACAAAAATAACAGTTATTTCCTAGGTTCCCGGCTCTTCCTCTCAGCTCTTGCGAGACGCTGTGCCAGGACTAGCTGTCAGCTCGAGGGCACAGAGTTTTGCTCCTCTCCACTCTGCTAATAGGGAGTAATAACGTGTTTAGACCACTTAAACTAGGCAGACATAGCTGGGAGCCATGCACGGCTCAGCTATGCCGGGAAAGGAGGTGTCATTTGTACGCAGTTACTTTGGTGATCAACACTTGAATGATATATGCCGCCTGCTTTAATTATATTCCTGTGACATTTTCCTGGACAGGAGCGGGCCGCGCACAGCCAGATCCGGGCAGCCCCGGGAGTGCCCTGCTGCTGCCCTCCTAGCCTGGGACTGTTTCGGGGAGGGCAGCCACGCCGACCCCCCGAAATAAGGCTCTGAGGACCGAGAGGGGAGACGCCTTCAAAGATGCTATTCGTAGCTACAGGTTTATTTTTTTGTTGTTTCCCCGCTCACAAGTAGTTTCTGATTCAGCAGCAGTTTTCTGCTCCGTGGAGGAGGAAAGGCCGCAGCTTTATTGGCTTTTTTTTCCACAGTAGAAGGCAAGGCCCAGGAGTGACACTTCCCCGACGGTTTCAGGAGACCCCTTCATCCATCCCCGGGTACACCCAAGGGCCGCTGTTCCTTTCAGCCCTACTGCCCTCCCTGCCTCTCGGCATGAAACCCCACTCAAAGTTCTCGTACCTGCACCAGGAATAGATCAGTGACAGGTCCTGCTCAGAGGGGCTGAAGCAGACGGAAGTGGGCAGATTGGAGCGCATCGGATGAGGGTGCTTTTCCCTTAACGACCTCATAGCTGGGACACACAACTACCAACTGCCTTCCGGTGGGCCGGGCAGAAGAGCCCGACAGGATGCGAAACTCCGTGGTGGTGGCTGGAGCAGGCCCCCCGGCTGTCCCCTGCTGTCCCCCCTTGCTCCCCGGGGCCCTCTGAGGACAGGGAAGTGCAATGGGACATGCGGGGGGAAGGGTGCACTGAAGGTCTCTAATTCAGGGCTGGATGCCAAGAGGGCTGCCAAAAATAAAATTAAAATAATTAAATTCCGAAGGGTGAGAGGGAGGATGCTGAACTCTCCCACTAAGCCAGGAAGGGGGCAGCCCCGCTTGCCCCTCCTCTGCTTTTCGGCCACCTCGTAGCGCAGAGAGGGAGTCGTTTGCGAGGAGCGAGATGCAGCGGTTGCAAAGGCAAAGTGAGTGCAGGGAAAACGAACCCACATCCGCCAAAGGCGCCACCGGGCAGCCGAGAGAACAGAGGAGAGGGGAGCCGGTCTGAGGCCGTCGGGGCAGCTACAGAGCTCCGCGGGGCTCGGGGGAATGGGGGTCGGGACCTGCGCCCTTCCCTCTCAGCCACCCCTTTTCTCAGTGAGATGCTGTCCGGGGGATGCTGGGCACAAGGGCAAGCGGCAGGCCTGGAGCCATCGGACTGAGCTACTCATGCAAAGCGTGAACCCGGCTATCCCCTGACAGGCAGTGGCCGAGGCAAACGGAGTCCCTCTGTGCCAGAGAGTCTGTGCTGGGGCTGCTGTCCGCCCTCCGCTGGGCTCTGCCCCTATTAGGAAGCCAAAAAAAAAAAAAAAAAAAAAAAAAGGTAGGGTGTATTTAAAACCCTATCCTACCGCGTAGGTAAAGAGGGGAGATGCGGGCTGGAGGGACAACAGGGGATGCAAAACGGTTTTCAGGGTTTCGCTGTGTCTGGCGCACTTTTGCCCGTGCCCTGAGTGGAACGGGCTGCACTTGAGATGGGGGCGCAAGTTGCACCCCAGGTCTGCGCTCTACTCGGCGGGGAAAGCTAACTGGCAGGGCCTCTGAGCATCCCATACGGTGTCCAGCCCACCCAAACTCGGACCCAGGAACGAGACTATTTTTCTTCCGGTTTCCCCCCTTTTTTATTTTTTAAAATCTTATTTCTATAGGTTTAACACCAGCATCCCCATCCCAGTTCTCAATAAAACCCGGTTCCTGACATAAAACAGCACGCTGGAAAATAATGTGAGGGGACACAAGGGAGAGGAGTAAAGTCTCTAATTGGTTAAAATATGTTTAAATCACTTCATAAAACCCAAGCAAAGCGAAGCAAATAATCCACCTAGCAAAGCAAAGAAGCTGGGCGATTTAGAATCAGTGTAATTCGCTCCCACCCCAACCGGCTCCCTCCCCAGCTCCTCGCAGTATTTGATATGATGAATAACCCAATATAGGCCTTTAAAAATAGGTCACTGCATAAAGAGACTCCCAGAGAGCTATAAAAAATGGGAAGAGGGCGCTTTAAGGAGAGGAGCCATTTGCTTCTTTTGTGCTTGTTTGGTACCTAGCGGCCTGGGAGCTGCCAGCCGTCCTCCCCCTGGCCCTCAAGGTGAGGAGGGAAAGTTGGGGCCGGATCCGGCCCCGGCCTCTCCTCCTACCCCACCGCCCTTCCAGCCACCGCCCGCCCCGTCCAGCCCCGGCCCGGCCCGCGGGTCGCGTCCCGGCCTCCCCACGGGGACCGAGGGGTACTCACGCCTGAGGTGGGGGCCAGGCTGCTCACACCCAGCTCTGGGCTTTGTCTCCGTCCCTGCGGAACGGCGAGGCATAGGCGGGATGGTGGCCCGGGTGAAAATACTGAGGAGCAGGTCTGTCCCTCCCGCGCCGGGCCGGGTCCCCCCGGGAGCAGGGGACGCAGTAAGCCCCGCGCCACTGCCCCTCTCCAGAGCCGCCGATGGGCTCGTAGCATAAGGCCTCGGGCTGGAAATCGGCCCTCCCCGGCCCCTTCCACCCGCGCTACCGCCGGATAGGACCACCCGCCATCCCCGGCACCAACGGAGCCCAAGAAGCCGCCGACGTCCCGGGAACGAACCCGGACCGCGACCCGCCGCGCAACCCCTCCGCGGGCACTCTCGGCACCGGCACCCTCCCGGAGGGGCCTGCTCCCGTCCCGCACCCCGCAGTCCGCTAAAACACAGAGCGCTGGGAAGGAGGAGCACCACAAATTCGGCGGAAACCTCCGGATTTTATTGGAAAGGAAAGGTCTGCCTTACCTGGAACCAGGCTCTTCCCTTCTTCCCCTCATTATTAAAAAAAAAAAAAAAAAAATCTCAAATGGCTCTGCATTGAGCCAGAGAGAGACATTTAAATCACCTGGTAGCCGAAATTAACAGGAGGAAGAAATGGAAGAAAAATAAAACAAAAAAATCTCGGGGGAAAGAAAAAAAAATAGAGAGAGAGTTGGAAATTTTTCGTTTTGGTTTGTTTTCCCTTATTATTTTTCACTATACTGTATTATCCTGATGCAATAAAGGTTGGTTTGTAATGTAATTTAAAAATATATATGTCCAAACAAATAGCAGGGCCAGAATATGACAAGTGCATTCAGCATTATAATTCAACTGGGCTCCACCTCCATACCGCCTCCTAATTAATGGGTCTCCGAACTTGCAAAAGCCTGCATTGGACAGAGAGAGAGAGAGAGAGAGAGAGCGAGCGAGAGAGGGAGTGAGAGAGAGAGAGGGCGAAAAGTGTCATTGAAGATAATTGATTACCTCCCAATCAACAATAACTTGTTAGCAATAGTCAATTACCCCATCTCTTCTTGCTTCTTTCCCCCTGGTCCGAGGTCTCGGTGCGAGGGCTGCTCTCCCCCTCGCCGAAGTCTACTTTTGCTTTTTCTTCCTTTTTTTTTTAATTTTTTTAAATATTATTTTGGGGTGGGTATTCGCGGGGGGGGGGGCAGGGAAAGTGCTGTGATTTGGGGTGTTTCTTAAAATAGCAGCTAGGAAGAGAAAGAGAGGGGAGAGAGAGAGAGAGAGAGAGAGTGAAGAGAGAGAAGGGGGGGTGGAAATCTCCGACCCAAAACCCTGGGACAAGAGGTACGGCAGGACCACCTCTCGGCGAGGGACCGACGGCTCCGCTCCTCTCCGCGCCCGCCCGCCGCCCTGCCCGCCCGGCCCGCCGCCCGACGTGGCTCTCCCCGGGAGGACCCGGGGCTCCTCCGCCGGAGTTGGAGGTGGGCTTCAACTTTTGCTCGCTATCTTCGCCGCCGTCACCCCGCGGTCCCGCCGGGGACTTCTGCCCGCGGCAGCGCATCCCCGTCGCGGGTGGGGAAGGCAGCCCTGCGCGGCCCGGCCCCACCATGACTTCCAAAGAGGAACCCAAGCCCTCCTCGGGGGAAGAACGGCGGCGGAGCCCCTTGGATCACCTCCCACCGCCGGCCAACTCCAACAAGCCCCTCACGCCGTTCAGCATCGAGGACATCCTCAACAAGCCCTCGGTGCGGAGGAGTTACACTCTCTGCGGAACGGCCCACCTCCTTTCCGCTGCCGAGAAGCACCCCCCGGCCGGGCTGCCCCTCTCCGGCCGGGCGCTGCTTTCCCAGACCTCGCCCCTTTGCGCCCTGGAAGAGCTGGCCAGCAAGACCTTCAAAGGGCTGGAAGTCAGCGTGCTGCAGGCGGCCGAAGGTAAGACCCCCTTGGAGTGGGGGGATCCTCCAGCGGGTGGGTGCCCCGCTCCTCCCCACGGCCTGGTTTTCCTTCTCACTTCTCCCACCCCCCACCATCTCCCGGGGTGTCGCATGGGGTGGGATGGGGGGGGTCCCTTGGCGGTCAGTACCCGGCGGCATCCTCTCCCCGCGGCCCTCGGGGTACAGGAGCGGTGGCTCTGCCCCACTCCCTGCAGATATCGACGGGGCAGGGGTGTGGGGGCCGGGGCTCGGGTCGGGGTGGACATGGGGAAAGCGGGTGCAATCTGGCGGCTCGTCGGCAGGCCGGGACGGGATGACGATCTTCGGGCAGCGGCAAACGCCGAAGAAGCGTCGGAAGTCGCGGACGGCCTTCACCAACCATCAGATCTACGAGCTGGAGAAGCGGTTCCTCTACCAAAAATACCTGTCGCCAGCGGACCGGGACCAGATCGCCCAGCAGCTGGGGCTCACCAATGCCCAGGTCATCACCTGGTTCCAGAACCGCCGCGCCAAGCTCAAGAGAGACCTGGAGGAGATGAAGGCCGACGTGGAATCGGCCAAAAAGCTGGGCCCTAACCCCGCCGTGGACATCGTGGCCTTGGCCGAGCTGGAGCCCAGCGCCGAGGGAAGGGGCAAGGCGCGGCCCGGGTCCCCGCCGCCGCCCCCCGCCGCCGCCCGGGAGCCCGGTGCCCCTCCACTGCCCCGCCCCGCCTCGCCCCCCACGGAGCGGCCCCGCAGCCGCCGGGACAGCGAGGAGGAGGAGGAGGAGGAGGAGGAGGACGTGGAGATCGACGTGGATGACTGAGGGGCGGCCGGCGGCCCCTCATCCCGTAACCCTCCCCCCCATCCCGACAGCTCCAAACCGGCACCCTCGGCCCCCCATCCCGGCCCCGGCAGCGCGGCGGGGCGGCTGCTCCCCTCGGTCGGAGCGATAAGCAATAGAACCCCACCACAGACACACACACATCCCGATTAATTTAGGGTAGAGTCGATATCCCTCCGCCTGCCACATCTTCGGAACGGTGCAATTACGGACGGCTTCTGTATAAATATTTAAACGTATATATTGGATTTTTTCCTTCCCCATTCTTTTTGAGGTTTTGATTATTATTTTTTTTAATAGCTATCAGTGATGATTATTTTATCCATAAGGGAGACGCATAATCTTGGAATAAACTCGGCTGCCAGCAGATGTTTGGGAAAGCAGTTGTTTTCAAAGACTTCCAAAACGAACCACTTTAGAGAAGATTTAAGTTAGGCTTAAAACGTCAACAGAAAAGAATTAGCCACTTTCCTTTCCTTGCATGTTTCAAATGTGCACGAACTAATTTTTTTTCCTTTTAAAAATATTTTTTCTTCTGCAATCTGGGGAACTTGGGGCTGGGTTATAATGCAAGTTGAAAAATATATACTTTCTTTTTTTTCTAGAGCATAGAGATTTGTCTCCAATGCAATTTCTGCCTCATTTTACCAATTAAAAGCTATTTTTACCATTTTCTGCTATTGTTGTGCTTTTATTAAAAGCTGCCTTTCGTATTTTTGATATGAAGGTGGTGACAAAAAAAAAAAAAAAGGAAAATGAAAAAAAATCCTAGAATTATTTTTTACTCTTTTTAGAATTTTTGCATGCTATGGAAATAAAAAAGGACAAATCCCAAGATCAATACATTTAAATATTACACTATAAATTAATAAAAATGTACAGATTTAAGACTTGTTTTTGTTTGAATTGTACAAATTTTAAAAGGCCTGCTATTTAAGTTCCGATAGGGACAATGTCGCTTTATTTACTGTCTCTTAGAATTGTACAGACAGCTCTTTTTTCCGATACAATAAAATCTTTACCATTTTAATATACTTTTTAACGTCCTTCTTTGTGACCGAAAAAGCACTCCTCTCCGTTCTGAGGTTACACCAGACTTTTCTACCACAGGGATCTCCCATCCCGTTTGCATTTAAAGTTACTTTATGCACAGTACCTGCGAGAAAAATGACGGGAAAGGAACACACGAGAGAGACCTTTATTATTATAATTTTTTTTTTTTTTAATAAGGATAATGCCAGGTAGAGCTTAGCAGAGGGAGAACTCTGCAGATGGATAAGGCAATAGGTGCAGGCAGCGGTTCCCGGGCGCGGGGGATGCGCAGCGGCAGTGGGAGAACGGCAGGGCGAGCAGGACCACCGGCACCCCCCGCCCGCCCCGCCGCTCCCGCCGCCAGCAGGGCATTTCCAGCCCGAAATTTGAGAGGAAAGGAAGGGGGGGAGAAAAAATAATAGAAAGAAACAAAAAATATGAGCGGGGAGAAGGAGTTATCACCGACTTGGACAAAACAAGCGGGGGGAACTGCTCTACACCCGGCGGGCCAGGCCTCCCGCTTCTGGGCAAAAGCTGCCGTGGGGATAAGAGGATGGAAAACGTTTCGTTTCTTCCTTTTCTTTTCTTTTCTTTTCTTTTTCTTTTCTTTTTCTTTCCTCCCTCTCTCTCTCTCTCTTTTTTTTTTTTTTTTTTTTTTTTTTAATAATTTCTCCCTTGTCTCTCTTTCCTTTATTTTTTCCTGCCAAAATTAAGGCTCTGGTGAATGTGTTTTCTCTTGGCAGCGTGATCTGCCTTTGGAGTCGAGTAACGTGTGTTTCTCCCTATTCTTTGCAAAATTTATGTGAGAAAGGCAAATCTGGTGTACAGTGGCAGAGCTCGGCAGAGAAGTGTCCAGATAAGGCAGGGTTGGTTTGTGGGTTGATTTTTTTTTTTTTTTGGTCCAGTTTCTCCGAGGCTAAATAAATCTTTCTCCTCTTTGAGAATGGATGGGGTTGTAATTTTTAGCGTAAAGCATGAAAACTGGGGACAAATGAGCCCTCTTCTCTGAAGTGACAAGCGACAATGGAGCATATACAGCCTCCTGCGGTTTGCCATGCTGAAACAAGCGTGCCCCTCCGCAGCAGAGAGAAGGAGAGCGCTTGGAGACCATATGGTTTTTGAATTTTCTTCACAATTTCCAGACAATTTGATGGATTAGGTTAACCCTCCCTTCCACTGTTTAACTCCACAACAATGGGAGCAGAGCTGTTCTCCCTTCGCCGGGGCATCTGTGCGCTTCTATTCTTCTCTCTTTCTCTCTTGGTATTTGGAACAAGCCTATGAATTACAATGAAATTCACTTTTCTTTAGTATTATTTGGAAGAGCACTTGTTTTCCGCCACCTCCCGCCCCCACTCCGACATCCCCTCTTTTTATTCTTCTTTTTTTTTTTTTTTACCTCCGAATGATAGCTTTGACTTCTGTCCAGATCTCTCGGAAAGCCTTCAATCTTGTCCTTAAGTGTTTTTATGCTAAACAGCCAAATCGTAAATGCTGAGAAACTGTGACATTTATGTGAAGATCTAGTTAAAGGGCTTTATTTGTTTTCTTTATCTGGTTTTTTTTTCCCATTCCCTCTCCTGTTCCCCCTCCTCTCCTGTTCCCTCCCTCCCTCCAGTCTTTTATTCTTTTGTCTTGGAATGGATTTAATGAGGCTGCAAACACTACGATTCAATATAACCAAGAAAAAAAAAAAAAAGTGGCTGGGTGTATGGAAAATGGACTGGGAGTTAATTTGGGTTTCTGATCTATTGACTTCTGAGTGCAAAGAGAAGAGATACCGGGCCGCCTTGCACCCGCAGAAGTTTACCACACGTGGCTGGGGCGGGATAGTAAATAAAGCCTCCTCCTGAAGATTTGCAGCCTGTTAATTTGGCTAGTCCCCCATTTCCAAATAGCTGGGATTTTGGTTATTTAATCTGCATATTGACAAACAAAAGCTTTTTTCTTTTTTTCTTTCCTTTTTTTTTCCTAGTTTAAAATAAATCGCCGGCTTGTACCCCTCGTTTTTCACCCAGTTTGAAACCCGCCGTTCCCTCAGAGCACCTACCTGAGTAGACACATCTCTCGGGGGTTTCCTCTCCCTCGAATTTTAGATAGAACACGGCGCTTTTTTGTTGGGTTTTTTTTTGGGGGGGGGGGAGGAATTTTTTTTGTTGTTGTTGGTTTAGGTTTTTTTGGTGTTTTTTTAGGGGGAGGGCTTTTTGTTGTTGTTGTTTTAGGGTTTTTTGGTGTGGGGTTTTTTTTTTTTGGGGGGGGGGGGGGACAGGGGACGGAGGGAAATGGGGGTTTTTTGTTTATTTGGTTTGGTTTGGTTTGGTTTGGTTTTTTCTCCCCGCAGCAGCACTAGGGACGCGGTGACAGCGTTGAATCATGCCCTCTGGGCTGACCCAGCCGCAGCCCTTCCCGGCGAGCTCGTAGGGCTGCTGCCGTGATCGTGGCACGGAACCCCTCCTGCGTGCCCCAGACCCCCAAATCAGAGATCTCCAGATCTGCCCCGTAGACCTGGCCGCCTCCGGCCGCTCCGCTCCCTGGCCAGCGCTGCCCCGGAGAAGTGGGGAGCTGGGTCGAGACCCCCGGGACCTACTGACTGGGGACACGCGGGACAACGGGCCTTCAACCTGCCCCCAGTATTTCCTGCGTGGATTCACAGAACGGTGCAAACAGTCCCGTTTTCCCACCCCTGGGCAAACACTCAGAGCTCCCAGAACAGTGCTCAGTGCTCTGGGGACCGGCTCACCGAGATTCCCTCCGTGGAAGGTAGACATGGGGCAGAGGGAGAGACCAGTCTTCCCTAGATCATTCCCGACGGAAAAAAAAAAAAAAAAAAAAAAAAAGGCGTCAAACCGCTTAAGCCCTGTAGGTCCTGACCGGCAGAGATGAAAACTCCCAGTTTGGCAAAAGGGTGCGGGGGAACATGGAAGGGCTTTGTGGAGTGATCTGGAGGCCCGGCGGTGGCCCACCACCTACCCCGTCGGGGACTGCGGTGTCCCATGTCCGCCCTGTCGGAGCGGGCGTGGGCGCTGTCGAAGGCAGGTGCGGGCAGGGGCTGCGCTCCTGCCTCGGGCATGGCGACTCCCGAGGGTCTCGATCCAGCCCGCATCTCAGCCACCGCTGTTCCCTCCTGGCAGAAACCCCATTTCTCAAACGTAGGAGCCGGACCACCCCCCCTCCCACCCCATACCCATCCTTCATCCCCAAACTTGACACTGCCTTAGATTTCGTTTGGAGGTGTGAAGGGAGAGGGAGGGGAGGGGGCGGTGGGGGGTGTTGTCTGCTTGGAAATGCCACCCTTTAGTGCTGGGGGGGGGGTACGTTTTTTGTTTTTTTTTTCTCCTAAGGGGGGTGGGGAAGATCCATATTTGATCTTGTTCACTTCACACAGGGCTCCCAGACGGAGAATAAAGCCCCCTCCTGAATTATCCAACAGGGCTGAAGCAGGTTGAGTCAGTGAAATTCAGTTCCTTATTTTATGAGGTGTCAGGGCTGATGTCGAATATGGCAACGATAACTAATACTACAGTCTGAGGGACCAGAACGTGGTAATTAATCCCAAAGACTTAAGTGTATTTTAGTTCAGGAGAAAAAAAATCACTAATTCAATCGTCCGGAAAATTGAAGTTTGATGCATGAGTCTCTGCTGAAAGGAAAGGCTTTTTCTTCCCGATTCTGGGGTTGGGACAGGAATCGCAGCCTCTCTTCTCCGCTCCCCAGAAAGGCTCCGGTACAGGGCCGCTGCCCGCCCGCCCCCGGCCCGGGGCACACCGGGGACTGGCACGCCGAGGGACGGGGGGGACAGAGGTCTCTCGCTGCTTTCCTCTGAGTCCTACACCGTCCATCCCGTTTGCCCCCGCAGCAAACACTACACATTCGCGAGCATATCGTGATCGTTTCCTTGTGTCACGACATGCGAAAAGACTGGTGGGCAGAGCAGAGCGTCCCAGCCACTCCTGGCCACCCACTCTCCCCGTACCTCCGGTAGCGGGCCCTGGGGGCCTTCAGCCTTTTTCCCTTCAGCCACGCACCCCCAGCTCCCCGCTTCGGGGCAGGGCCCATATTTGCTCTCTCGAGTCTCCGGCACTCACTGGGGAGACGGGGACCCCGTTCTCTGCCCGAGCGAGAGCACCGGCACACCGGGGCAGCATGGGCAGGGCCGTGGGCACCTGGAAAGGGGAGGGTCCCGGCTCCGGAATATCGGTGGGGCCCCGCTCACTGCATTCAGCCCCACGGCCTTGAGCATCCGCCTCCGCGCCACTCGGCCCCGGACACCCTTCAGTCTTAAGCTCCGGTCGCCCCTCCGGGGCCAAAGCGGGGACGCCCAGTCGGATCGCTCCTGACCTCGCATCCTGCCGGCCTCCCCGCCTCCCCGGGGGGCTGGAGCGTTCATCTGCCCCCAAAGGCCGGGCTGGCACCCCTGGGCTGTCCCTGGTGTCAGGGTGTCCCTTCTGCAATGAGGGGCGGCACCTTCTCAGTGCGCACCGGTGGCCGGGCCCTCCGCCCTCCCCGTCCAGGTGAGACCGGGCTGGGTGGCGAGCAGGGGGCAAAGAGGGTCCGAGATCTTCACCCCGACCTGCTTGTCAGGGCTGAGCCTGTCCCAGCGGGGCTTGTCCCCTCATCTACCCCCATCCCGGGCCCGGTTTCCCTACGGGAACGTCCCCACTGCTGTGGGAAGGG